TTGTTGTGTGTGTGTGTGTGTGTGTGTGCGTGTGTGTGTGTGTGTGTGTGTGTAACATCATGTTTCATCATAATATTATTTTATACATAACAATTGAATGATTAAGTATGAATCGCACTGTTCCTAAAATTTTTCATTCTACATCTTCCCTTCTACTATCTGAACGTTTCATAAACATGCAAATTAATTCTTTGCGAAAATTCTTTCCAGTTGCGCAGTAGAGAACAAAATTTGTTCCATAATTTATTATATATAACAAACTGCTGACATATAAATATATGACAAAATTCATATTCAATATCTGCAAATAAAATTATTAGCGTCATAAGTTATCAAAACATAATGAACAATTACACAGTTTTTATATCAATTGCACTAAAAAATTTAGTAATAATAGTAAAAATTTAAATATTAACAAAAGTTTATTAATACTTTTTGGAATATGTAAAATGTGTTTTTAAAGTAAAAAACCTCTGTGTTTGATAGTTAATTTTTTTTTAACAATAAATGTTAATACGTACGCGATAGCTGAAACAAAGTAAAGCGACGTGGATAGGTATATTCAAACATATGAATAAGGTTGAAATGATAACAAGCATTTTTGTGACTTCAATGTGGGACGCTTCCTTGTCAGAACTTTGTGTGTTCTTATTGGAAGCAGAAAAACTTGAAATCATGTTTCCTCGGATACGATTTTGCTTGCGGACGTTGTATACTATTAGAGAATTAAAAATTACTATCATTATTGCAGGTAAGAACGATGTTATAATAGCATTAATGGTGCAAATAATCCAGATCATTCCTTCTTCAACTATATTTGAATTCTTGTACGTTGTGTTCCATATAACAAGCCAAAAAAATATAGAATATAAAACTGCTAATCCTGCCAATCCAATCACTATGATTATCGCTTGATTAACTGTGCACAAGGAACGACGAAGTAGCGGCCACTTGATCACTATATATCGTTGAACAGTAAAGGCCACTACAATCCACACACTCAGGAAACAAAATACAGTTTGAAAAAAACCATCCAATAAGATTAGCAACCAATATTCCTCATTTATGATTTTTATCTGTTTAAACCAGTTCACGAATACCGTCACCAACACTCCAATGTCGCTTATCGCAAGTGCACCCAAGAAGATGCTGGATGAGTTGTAACGTAGCTTTGTGCAAAAGAGCACACACACGGATAGAATGTTGCCCAGCAGAGAAAGACACAAAAAAATTGGTAAGTAATACTTTTCAATGTGCTTCATCACATTCAATGCTGGAATATATTCGTCGTCCATCTTTATGATTGATTTTGAATTGTTAGCAGCAGTTGTTAACGTGACAAACAGCAGAAATCTTGTGCCATACACAACGTCAAACTGTCCTTTAATAATATAAACTGCAGTTTTCCGGTTTGATTGAAATTGTCAGTGCATTTTTGCAATATAAATTTGTTACAGCTTTGTTTTGTTGTTAAAAATTTTAAATAATAAAAGGGCAATTTAGTAAAATATGTACTGCTGTATTATTTATCGTTACTGTAGATCAATTAAGCTTACGTAATGCTAATGTTACTAAGATATAAAAACATAATGTCATTACAGGTCAAACGTCAGTTATACACTGTACTATTTTTAAGCTTGTCTGGTGGTTTAAAGCTGACTTTATTTATATTATTAAAAATTAAAATTCATATTTAAATTAAAAATTCTTGTTGTCATTTATGCGCGACATCGAGCTCTCATGAGAATCGGTGAGTCACACATACAATATGATGTGGAAAAGTTAGTTAAATTACAAGTGGTAGAAAAAGTTAATTCAATTTTTTGATAAGACATATTTAATTGAATTTTTTACTTAAACATTATTAATTGTACAAATATTTTTACTTAGAAAAAATTTCAATTAATTTTTGTTTTAATCGTGCAACATATGATTATTAAAGTATAAAGTAAAAAATTATAAAGTAAAATAAAAAATTATTATTTAAATCAAAAAACAAAAATACTTATATATGTAACACATTTGTTACTTAATGAGCGTTATTCGTAAATATTGTTTTGAAAAAATTAAGTATTATATACGATAATTATGTCGTGTTTTATCATTATAATTGCACAATAGTATTACACCATTCCTCATAATTTTTCATCTCTATGACATCTTCGTTTTTTCTAATGTTTGAATGTCTGGTAAACATTGCGGAAAATTCTTTCTAGTTGCACAATAGACAACAAAATTTGTTCTGAAATTTGCTACATATACCCAACTACTGATACAGTAATTTACGATTGAATCATAAATCATTAGCAAACACAGGGCCGGATGTACGATTTTGTGGCCCCTAAGCTATGATCTTAAGGAGGCCCCCTCTTATTAACAAAAAATACATTTTTTTAAATCTTTTCTATACTAAAGAGGCCCCCTTATAATGTGAGGCCTCTAAGCTGTAGCTTATCTAGCTTATGTGTAGATCCGGCACTGAGCAAACATGATTATTATCGTTATATATCATTATTAAAAAAATATAAACAATAATACAGTTTTCATATTAATTAAATTTATATAATCTTAACAGTAAAGCGTAACATTTTTGTAGGCATATTATTCATACACAAACTTTTAACTTCTTAAAACTGTTGTATAATGCAACAAGGTAAATGTCTCAAGAATCAAACAATTAACAGGCAATTGTTTTTATTTTTATTTTTCTTTAATATTGTTTGAGAGTTTAATATTTATAAATAGTTATAATAACTCTTTTGTTAATATGTAGTCAAATATGTATGTCCGAGTGCTAGAGTATTTTTTTTGTTGTTAGTAAATATAACGCGCGCATGCTAAACATTAAGAATTCTAAAATAAAATTTTAATTTTAGACAAAAGTTAATTAATAACATTTCATGATATGTAGAATATTGCTTGCAGAGAATACATTTTGAAGGTAAAGAAACTATATATTTGATCGTTACATGATATTTAAAAAGTTTTTTGGAAGCTTTGTAATGAGATAAATTAAATTAGATTTTTTTATCTCACCATTGTTAATTGCAATTACATTTTTAATTAAAAATAACTAAAGAAATTAAATATTATGTTATATAATTGATATCGTGTTGAGATGCCGTATGATATAATTGATTTCGTGCTTCATCATTATAATACCTTGTAATAATTGCATGATTAAGCAACAATCGCACTAATTTTTGAAATTTTCCATCTCCATATTTTCATTTCTTCTAGTATCTAAAGTTTTCGTAAACATGCGAATCAATTCTCTGCGAAAATTCTTCCCAGTTACACAATAAAGAACAAAGTGCATTCCGTAATTTGCTTGCCATAATAATTGACTAATGAACCAAATAATGTCAAAAAGTTCATTAGAGATCTGTAAATATAATTATTATTGTTATATGTTATTATTAAAGAAATATAAACAATAATATAAATTTTATTTTAATTTGATTAGATATTAAAAACTATAAAAAACTTTGAATTTTGAAAACAACTAATCAATAGCTTTTCATAATTTATAAAATGCACTTTTAGAGTAAAAACAATTCTGTATGGTCTGTATTTTTCAATTACAAATATTAATACATACACCATAGAAAATGAAAAAAGAGCAGACTTGTAAAGGAGCATTTAAACATATGAATACACTTGAAATGATAACAAGCATTTTTGTGATCTTAATATGTGACGCATCATCGTTAGAACTTCGTATATTTTCATTGGAGGAAGCGGAACTAAAAATCAAGTTTCTTCGGATACGATTCTGTTTACGAATGTTGTGCACTATCAAAGTATTAAACATTACTATTAACATTATGGGTAAAACAAACATTATAATAGCATTAATGGTCCACCACCAGTACTTGAAGTTCTTTTTAACCTTTGCATCAAAATACTTTTTACTGACAATCTGTATAATAAACCATGGAAAAGAATATAAAACAGATAAACCCGCTAGTCCGATCACTACGATTTTCGCTCTGTTGACTGTGCACAAGGAATGACGAAGAAGCGGCCACTTGATTGCTATATATCGTTGAATAGTTAAAGCTACTACAATCCACATACTCAAGAAACAAAATAATATTTGTAAACCAAGCACACAGATCATAAATCAATCTTTGTGATTTATTTTTAGTATCTGTTGGAACCAGTTTTCGAATTCCATTACCAGAACACCGATGTCACTTATCGCCAGTGCATCCAAGTAGATGCTGGACGAGTAGTAGCGTAGCTTTGTACAGAAGAGCACATACACGGATAGACTGTTTCCCAGCAGACAAAGACACAAGAAAGTCGGTATGTAGTACTGTTCGATATGCTCAATCACATTCAATGTTGAATTATTTTCATCGCTCATCCTTGCGTATTGATTGTAAATTGTTTGCAGAAGTGATTAACGAGAAAAAGCAAAAAGCGTATGAGCGTAGAATGGATAAAAATTTGTGTCATACACAATAATCTGGAAAAACTTTATAACATTTTTTATCAATTTATGATATTGATCTAGTTAAAATATTTGTTCTGTAGATTGCACATCGCACATATAACATGTTAATTTTATAGCAATTAAATAGATTTTTATTTTAAAAAAATAATTAGGTAATAATTAAGTAATACAAACCTATTTTTTGAACTGCAATGTAGTAAAAAAATGTATTCCAGTATCATACATTGTGACGACAGATTGATTGAATTTTTATAATAACTGTTACAATATTTTGAAAACATAATATAATTTCAGATCAAACACATCAGTTATACATTGTACTGTGTTCAAGTTTATCTGCTAGATAGAACTGGTGCGTTTTTACTTAACAGGTTAATTAAATTTTTTACAATGACACAGGTTAATTAAATTTTTTTACAATGACATTCTTAATTACATTTTTTATTTAAGTATCGTTAATTATAGACGTATGTTTTTAATTAAAAATATTTTAATTAATTTGTTTTGACTGTATAATTGATTTTTGAAGGATAAAGAAACAACAATAATTTTATATACTTATTTTTATTAAAAAATATTTTCTATTGTAATATACTGGAAAAACAATTTAAAAGTAGGAAAAAAACTAATATTATAAATTAAAACTTATAGCTACATGATGCGCGTTATTTAAATAAAGCCTGATTAGTAAATTAAAACTATACACTTAAGTATATATATATATACAGATCTTTTTATAAATAAATCAATTCTATCTATGATAGCATTTTTTTTACTTGCTGATCGGATCTTATATAAAAAACGTATCTCGTACTTATAATACAACGTACTTATAATACGTAAACGTACTTATAATACACGTATTATTTAATATGAGCGTTATTCGCTAAACACTTGTTTAAAAAAGTGAAATATTATGTGATATGATTATATTATTATAATTGATGTCGTATTGATATCATATAATATAATTGTCGTACTTTAACATTATATTACTTTATTATAATTGCATGAATATATAAAAACACACTGATTCTTATAATTTTCCATCTTCATGATTTCTTTGTTCCTTGTATTATCAAGCGACGTGGCAGCGTCGCGACGCCAAATGCAAAATTTCTTTTTATCTTTGTAAGGTTTTTTTTTTGTCTGAATGTTTCGTAAACATATGGATCAATTCTTTGCGCAAAATTCTTTCCAGTTATGCAATAAAAAACAAAAATTATTTCGTAATTTATATTATATAAAAAATCGCCAACAAAAATTTGCTAGAAATTATTTTAATAATATCGAGATATAATCTTGATATCGCACGCACAGATTTTATTGATAAGTAAAATTGATTACGTCGATAATATCAATGTTTCTATTTTAGTTCCATCTAAATGATGGCGCTTCCACATTGGAGTTCTGCTGGCATCAGCAGTTCAGCAGTCATTCTAAAATAGGTTATTTAGTCTAATAACAAGAAGCTATTGTAACTGTTTACTTTTTAGTTGAACAATTAATCAAGTTTAATAATTTAATCTCGTGGAAGTACAAAAGTTCTACACAGGTAAATATTAGCAAAATATATATTTTAGAATATAAAATGTTTCTCACTCTCTTTTGTAAAATGTAACATGTAGCAATAGCAAAATTAATAATAATATTACAATTACATGTAATAATAGTTAACTCGTGAAATATTATAAATGCAAAATATGTAATTTTGTTATATGTGCACAATTGAAGGACACATCGTGAAACAGTTATGGAATCTAATAAAAGTGAAGTGAATGATATGAAAACAACTAAGAATGTTTCGATGGAAATAGAAGTTGAAAAATCGACTGAAAATGACAACTTAGTTATTAGTGACAATAGCACTGTAGCACCAGTGATAATAGAAGAGTTGGATGAAAATGCTATTAGCTCAATGGATATGGATCTAAATGAATTTGTTGAAGCACAAGCGTTACAAGTACAAGAAGTGAAAGAAATTCCAAATTATACAGGCTCTTCATCATGTAGATCTAACAAAGATATAGATACTGAGGATCAAGAAACATCTCTAACACCAGATGAAGAAGATCAATTAACAAAACAGTTCTTAAATGGAGAGTTGACATTTAGTGAATATTCATCGAAAATGGATCAGGATATAGATATGGAAACATTAGAAAATGATAATATCAGGTATGATTCGACAAATATATTATATTTTTTTTCAAAATTTTGAAATTATTTTTAATCCTGCTTTTAGAAAAAATACAGAGGTTGATTGTGTTGCTGTGCAAAAGATTGAACAAAAACCACATAAAACAAGTAATGTGCAGGTGCGACAGAAAAAGAAAAGACGTATTCTGCCACCAGTTTTACAAGGACTTATGGGAGAAGCAAATTTAAGATATGCAAAAGGAGAAGTAGATCTAGCAGCTCAAATCTGTATGGAAATTATTAGGCAAGTTCTCTTAATGTATTACATTGGGGTAATACATTTTAAAACAATAATATATAAAAGGAGCAGAAAGCCTATGCTGAATGGACGTGCAACTTTTATTTTAAATCAGAATTATAACATTAACAAATGTTTCGACCTATATTAGGCCTTCATCATTGTTTTACAAGATATATAAAATTTTAATCGCTGTTTTGCATGTTATTAAATTTGTCCTTTGCTCGGTGTCATGTTTAAAATCTTTAGTTCTTATGAGAGTCGATAGAACTAGTCGAAGAAATAGCAAGGAAAGAAAGGAAAGCAATCATACATTAGGAAATAAGTTGATTCCTTCTTCTCCTTCCCTCCTTTCCAAAATTTCCCATTTTAGGCCCAAGTGTTTTCTCTACCGGACCTAACAACAGCTCTCTAGTTGACTTTTTACTAAACATACTGGTCACTTTTATTTTAATCGTTGACGGCTGAAGATCTACATTTTATTTCATTAAACTAATATACAGTTTGAGTCGTCGAGAGGAGCTCACTATTCCTCTCTTCAATTATTGGAAGCATCGAACACATCAAGAAAATGTATATATATATATATATTTTTTTTTGTTAAATTTATTAACTTCTCTTATATTCATTTGGTTTTCTATTTTTACTTCCGGTCAATTTTATTTTATTTAAGTCTTGAATTATCGGAACTAACTAACATGATCAAACATCCAAAATTGAAAATTATCGTTGCGATTCTCATAAGAACTAATGTTATGATTTTAAACATGACGCCAAGCGAAGGACAAATTTAATAATGCAAAACAGCGATTAAAATTTTATATATCTTGTAAAACAACACTGATGAAGACCTGATATAGCTCGAAACGTTTGTTAATGTTAATATTCTGATTTAAAATAAAAATTGCACGTCTATCCAGCATAGGCTTTCTGCTCTTTTTATAAATTATTGTTTTAAATTTTGAGGCCTCTTTGATAATTATTGTAATACATTTTATTTAAGTTTTTATTATGAGAACTGTTTAAGAATCTTTTCATTATTATTTCTTCAGACAAGTGCCAAGCGCTCCAGAACCATTTCAGACGTTAGCTATGATCTATGAAAATGATCAACCAGAAAAGTCCTTGCAATTTGCTTTAATAGCCGCGCATCTCAGTCCTAAAGATGCCGATCAATGGGTGAGATTAGCTAACTTGTCATTGGAAAGTGGCAATATAAAGCAAGCGATAACATGTTATTCCAAAGCGGTTCAAGCCAGTCCAAAGGATATAAGTTTATACGAGACGCGAGCGCAACTTCAAGAACAGAACGGAGATAAAAAAGCATACTTACGAGGATATACGAAATTGATTCATCAATTGGAAGCTGAGGATGGTGAATATATAATGAAATATGCAAAAATATTAGCTAAACGTTATATGCAAGAAAGTAACAACGAACAAGCATTAGAAGCAATGGAAACTGTTTTTGTCAAATGTCCTAATCTCATTACGTTGGAGGAGGTTAATATCATGACAGAATTGTTAATAGCACTGAAGCAATTTAAGAGATGTTTAGATATATTGATTAAATATACAGATATTAAAATACGATATAAGAATAATAGGGACACAGAAGGAGAGCAAACGACCAAAGAGACAAAAAAATCTGAGAAGGAAGAAGAATTAAATAATTTGAAAGGAAAAATCTTGTCTCCAACAGAAAATCAAACTATTGATGAAATAGAATCTTGCGATGTGCCGGATAATGTGGTGGTTGACTTGAAAGCAAAATTTCTCATAATTCTTATTGAATTGAATCACATTCAGATAGCTGATGAACTTTTGCCTACATTTTACATGCGAGAGAATCCAGAAATATCTGGAGATCTTTTTCTAGATGTGGCAGAAACGCTAATGGACAAGAAAGAATTCCACCGTGCATTGGTTTTGTTGGATCCGTTAGTTGAAAGTACAAATTTTAGCTTAGCTGCTGTTTGGCTGAGACATGCGGAATGCTGGGTGGGCTGCGACGATGCAGACAAAGCTATAAAATCTTACGAAACTGTCCGGAAATTGTCACCGCAGCATTCGGGTGCGAAACTAGCTTTAGCTAAGCTTTATAAGACGAAAGAATATTATGATAAGGCAATAGAAGTGCTTTACCAAGATCCTGAATCGGATACGTTGGATCCTGACGTTACGTATCAAAGAACTTTACTACTTTTTAAAGTGGGAAGGTACGAAGAATATTTTTCGTCAGGAATGTTGCTTCTTTCAAGACATTGTGTTAACATAAGAACAAAGGTTGAATTGAAGGCATTGGCACGCGCAACGGGTGTTCGTCAGCGAATTGATAGCTTGCAACTGCGTCGTTTATCGTGCGGGGAAAAGTTGGAAGATGAAAACGCTCCAACATTTATCGATAGCGCGAAACCGAGTGAGAAGGATGAATTTCTACTTTTTCTACAAATGTGCAAACTGGCATGTAAATTAAAGAAGTATGGTTTCCTTCAGAGAATATGTTTCACCGCTTTGACGTCGAAGAAATTTAAAAATAGGAACTCTCATATAATCTTTTTATGTTTAATTTCTTGTATTCATAATAAGGATTCGTTCTACGGATACAATATCGTGCGGGAATTTGTACGTGTTTGTCAAAGATCGAACTCGTGGAATTTATTGAACATAATTATCCAGAGAGCAGAAGATTTGAGGCACAACAGATTCATAATGCGATTACTTGGACGAGAGGATGTGTTTTCATATTTGCATATCATGCATGCAAATAATTGTCTTGTTTCGGGAACATACAAATATGCTTTGAACAGTTACATTTCTCTCTTTAAAGTGTCACCTAGTGCATTATTAGCATTGCTGATAGGCGTCACACAATTACAAATGGCATGTCAAAAATTATCAGCTAAGAAAAATCAGCTTGTAATTCAAGGTAACTATATTTCTTACAGCTATGTATATATTTTTAGAATTTCTATGTAAAAATAGATTACATACACATACACATTATAATTATTCTAAATTATGTACCCAGAATTTAACGGAATATTTTAATTAATAGGATAAGAATTGATTTTGAAAATTGCTGTTTACAAAGTTTAGCATTTATACCAACACTTGATACAATAATGATGCAGTATACTATGATTATAACATATATATTCTTCTGTAATGAAATTTTCTTCTCCAGCGTTAGCCTTCTTCAAGAAATACATGCAACTACGTGGTAAAGAGGGTCAACAAGAAACATATTATAATATGGCGCGAGCGTTTCATCAAATTGGATTGCTACCATCCGCGATTCACTTCTACAAGTTGGTCCTAGAAGAAGACCCGGGAGAGTTGGTCAAACAGCACGCAAATCTTTTGGACCTAAAGAAAGAAGCAGCTTTCAATTTACATCTCATATATTTGCAATCCGAAAATTATCTTCTTGCCAGAATGTATCTTGAGAATTATATCACTATTTAAACTTGAAAATTGACTCATCTAAATGTGATACTAATGTACTATTTATATTATATTAGGTAAATATTTCAATTTTTATAGAAAAAATAAAACTTTTGTTACAACAAAGATATGCTTATTATTTAATCTGTATTGTTTAGCTACCTATTAATCGCATAAATTGCGTTCAATGCAGACACTGAAACATTTATGATTAAAGTTTAATAAAATATTGTGTGACGTGAATGGAGCACATTTGAAATTTTCTATTTTTGTCATATTATTTGTAATGAAATGTATTTTTGTTATTGCTACATGTTTAAAATATTACACTTTTTATGCGTATAATCTTGAAACAATGTAAAAATTTGACTAACTTAAAAAATTTTTTTTAAGATAATGGCTACTAGTTTAGAAGCTAAAATTGAATTTAAACAATTGTGCGATATTTTCGAAAATATTACCAAGGCACATAAGGCTGACAAAAAAACGCAAATCTTGCAAACATTTATTGACAAATGTCGAAATATTAGCAACAAGCTGAAAAAGGAATGTCCTGAATCAGTATGTATTATGCCGATATATATTATTGACAATTTGACAATGTATTGCAAAGTGAATCATTAAAATATTCATGTTTAAAAAATAATTATTTCATACTTGTTTAGAATAGAGCTAAGTCATATTAGCACGATTTAATTTAATTTTGTCTTAGGATGCATCGCTGTATCCGATATTGAGATTAATATTACCTAATCTTGAACGAGAGCGTGGACCACATAATTTGAAACAAGCCTCGCTGACAAATGTTTACGCCGACGTGTTTGGTTTTGCAAAAACGAGTGACACTTATAAAAAATTGGCAAATTATCGGTCAGTAATTGTCAAATGATCAAAATAACATAAATTGAAATGTTCACTAAATAGGTCAGAAGAAAAGCTTGAACTTTGAATGAAATATTTTATATGAACAAATATCGGTTTAAACACACTCTACGTATTTAAGTTTTTTTCAAAGCTTTCACCAAAGTGCAATAATTATATTTTAGAGAACCTACGCCAGGCAAATTCACAGGAAATGATTTTGCTGATCGAGCTTATCAAATATTAGACAAAAGATTCCCTCGAACAAGCACCGGATTCACGATTGAGCGGGTGAATAGATTCCTCGATGACATCTCCGAGAAAAATGCGACGAAGCAGCGAAAGGTTGAAACATTTAGAGTACTTTTTCGGCGAATCACGAGTTTCGAAATGAAATGGTTAACACGAGTTATTCTTAAGGATTTACGGCTCGGTGTAGGAAAAGAGAGGATACTGCAAAGTTCGTAATTTTTTAGTAACAAACGTACGTTGATGTATTGTAAAAGACTAATCAATTCGTTCGTTTCAAGTTTATCATGAAGACGCGAATGAGAAGTTTCTCGTAACGAACGATTTACGCGAGATTTCTGACCAGCTGCATGATCCGAGGACGAAAGTACAAAGTGGCATACAGATATTTTCGCACTTTAAACCGATGCTCTTGGAGAAATGCAGCATTGAGAATATCGACAAGTTATTTCGGGGCAACGACTTGTACTATGCACAAACCAAATACGATGGCGAGAGATCGCAACTTCATATGAAGGATGGCAAATTCAAATATTTCACGCGTAAAGGACACGACATTACAGCGAATCCTGGATACGGGGAGACTGGATCTTCAGGTATGTAATAGGTAAAAAATATATTGGGAACAAATTGAATGCAAAATATGAAAATTGGCTGAAATCGTTATTGATTCTCACCAGTAAATAATCCAATGTTGAAAATCGAATATTTAATTCATTCACAAAACTGCGACAATTTCTGATACTTGTAGGTTTCTTGACCAGTGTATTTACACGGTGTTTGAATCCGAATTGTTATTCCTTTATATTGGACGGCGAATTGATGGGTTGGCATAAAGAGAAACGAATGTTTGGCACAAAAGGTATGAATTTCGACGTCAAGAAGCTATCGAAGAACGCACATCATCAACCGTGTTTCGTCGCATTCGATGTTATTCTGCATAATGACATCTTGCTTGTTGACAAGCCTTACAAAGATAGGCTGAAACTGCTCAATGATATATTTACCGAAGAAGAAGGTTCTTTAATTATATGTCCACATACCTCAATTTCGAATAAGTAAGACAATTATCATTATAATAGCTAATAATCTTACAGAAAGCTTGTCTTTTAGAAAATTTTATCAAATTTGAATATTTATGATCGAAGAATTTCTTCATGATTGACTTTTTAATTAACGTTTTATAATTAAATCACTTTTCCTCACAAATATAAAATTAATTAATTCTAATGATTTTTAAGGGAGGAATTGATAAAGGCATTCAACGACTGCGTTCGTAATAAAGAAGAAGGACTTGTCGTAAAAAAGTATAATGTAAAATATAAACCAAATGTCCGAAACGGCAGTAATTGTTATAAAATTAAAGCAGAGGTAAAACACATTATTAATCTTTCATATTGTTATTTCTAATCTTTAAGAAAAATTATTTGCGATAAAAGTATTTGGAAATATTGAATATTTGTAGCAGACACATTGAGATATTCTTTTGCAGTATTCCGAGAATTTAGTACAAGATTTAGACTTGATTATACTTGGCGGTTATTATGGAGAGGGGAAGTACACAGGAATGATTAAAAGCTTCTTGATGGGCGTTGCCGATCCATCGTGCAATGAAGGAGAAAATCCGTCGCGATTTCTCTCTGTCGTATCCGTAAGCACTGGAATAGACGATCAAACGTTGCACGATCTCCAGAAAAAGTTTTGGATTAAGGAATGTCCTAACGGTGTCAAAGGTCCCAAAGTAAATGTCAATCATTATATTACTATGTAAATCAGATACTTTTTCTCAACATTAATTAATACATCTACTTCAAATTAGCTTCTTCGTTAAAAAATTACATTGTCATTTATCGTTCCGTCCTTCATAGAAGAGTCTGCCGGACGTATGGATTCATCCAGAACATTCTATGATCTTAACGATACGGGCGACGGAAATGATACGCAGCAGTGAATATCCGACTGGATACAGTTTGCGATTTCCCAGAGTCACGTGTATCAGAACGGATAAACCGTGGTACAGTCCCGATACTACTTCCGAGCTCCTGTCTTTAGTCAAAGTACGCTGCTGAACGATATAACTACGCGACGGAAATAGCCATTGTAATTTACGACGCTTACATTATTGCTTAGGACAAAGGAATGATCCAGAAGTTGAACAAGCGAGAGGCCACTCTGGACGACATCAACGAAGCGCCAGTGCCTAAAGTACGAAGGACAGCGACGCGAAGCGAGCCGGTTGGGTATGTATACAACACGTACAATGTGTACAGTAAGCGAATAAAAGCACTCACGCGATTATTGGACGGAAAAGAAATTTGCGTGGTGAACGGCACCGACGAATTAGAGAAAGAGCAAATTGAAGAAATACTGCAGCAGCACAGCGCGCGCGTCGTACAGAATCCGAGGAATACAACTTTCTGCGTGATAGTCGGCAATGATAAAACGGTAAGGAATATTGCCATCCCTCGCGCGGCTTCAGATTTGCGATTATTACAGAATGCGCGTAAATTATTCTTTTCAGATGCGAGGGAAGGAAATGGTGAATAGTAAAAAATACGACGTTGTAACTGTGGATTGGTTTAAACGCATCACCAATCAGTCTGATTTATCTTCACTGGGTGATTTCTTACCGTGGGAGTTATTAAGCAGTCAAGATACTACTAAGCAGCGACTTGCGGATAACTTTGATGAATATTATGATAGCTTTATGATTGACGCGGATGAGGAGAGTCTGAAGCGCTCGTTCGACAAGATTGCAAAATCGGTAATTTTTATTTTACAAAATAATTATCAAAAATGATCGCGCAAATCTAACTTTGCATAAACCGTTTAGCTTGCAGACAATCAGCTTACTGTTGAGCAGGGAAAAGAAATGGACGAGGAATTGTTCGATGGAAATGCGTCGCCGTACTCGCTGTTTAGGGATGTAATTGGATTCTTTGAAAATCCATCGTGCTGTGCCAAATTCAAATTCCGCTTCATGTCGGGGACGATCAAAGATAATATCGACAATTCTGTTACACATGTTTTCGTGGATGACAGCGAAGCAAATACTACTGTGAGGAACTTGGAAGCGTCTTTAAAAATTGTTAAATGTAAATGGATCGAGGATTGTTTCCGAAATCGCCAAGTGTGTGAAATCGCGGACTACCTGATCGATCGTTAGATCTATTACTATCAGCGATGAAAAAGAAATATGCACCAACAGTTTGGTAAAATATAAAGAAACGTTACATGTATATTTTCGACGGAAACATACGATATATTCATGGAATCGTTTTAACTCACATTTTCGTGAAGCACTGAGAAACTAGGTACTAGGCGGAGTGACAGTTGGACAGTTCGCTCATTTAACATCTTCCCGTTTCGAAATATTTCTTCTTGACTCGGGCCGCCACCCTTGCCCATCTCGTTTTATTTCATTGGAATGCGCGCAAAATACGAAGCGAAAGAGACGCAGCTGCGACGTTCCTCACAAAGCCTGCCATTCAGAGAGATCTCACATAGATTAACGTGAAAAGATCGCGGAAAGATTTAAGATGCATCGAAAAGCGCATGTATGCAACGTTACGAGCGAGGGATATAATTTTTCTCCGATTTCTTTGATTTCACCATCAATCTCTATTATGCTTCCAGATTTCTAAGAGTTATTTTAAATTTTTTTAAATTTTATTTTAAAATTAATATTTATTTAAAACATTTTTAATATTGGAAAAAATTCAATAAGTAAAAAGAAGAATAAATCTATGTATGCTTATGTATGTACATATTATATAAAATAAATATTTCTGTTTGAAAAAAAGTTAATTTTACTTTATATACATGTTTACCACTTTGCTAAGCGATGAATATGATCCTGTCACTCTTAACTCGCGTGATTGAAAATATATTACACATTATACACGCGGCGGTCACGCCGTGAGGCCATCTCGTTAGCAACGAAATGTCTCGTTTACCGGGTCAGTATAAATAATATATGAATATGACTGACGTTCTGCCCGCGCAGGATCTACTTATAGACTCTTCACCTACAGATGGGACGCGTATTAATCGAGTTTCAGATTTTCGGAGCGTGCGACCGGGCGTGTCACTTCTGCAGTATGTCGAATTTATTCATAGAATCTCACAGCTAACTCGCCAGTTTCCAATTATACGTGGTTACTCGTAACTTGTCTATCGCACTCCAAGATTATGCATAATGCCAATTATACATACGCTTATATGTAACAACTTCTCCATATCGCGAATCATCGAAACATATGATTTGATAGGTTGAAGCACATCTGTCTGAATCAACTCTTGGCTGTTACAACAAAATATCTCTCACTTAAAAGCGAATTAGGTATAACGCAGAACGTTTAGAGTTTTGTCTTTTAATTTAGACATCTGTGTATATAATTAAGACAAGCACTTGACACTTTTTTTACAATTAATAATAGAAAAAGAATAAATTGATGAATTTTAATCAATTTTTAAGCAGTTTCGTATTTTCTTCAAATTTTATATTTATTCTTTGATGCGATTTTTATCGATTGCTAAATAAATCGTAAAAATGTCCTGTTGATGAAGGCTACTTTAGATTAGAAATCTTACAGTAATGCAAAAAGCTACCTTTACCGTTTTTCTGTTTCAATAAGAATTTCTTCTGATGCAACAACGACTTCTTGCACAACTGCGCTTAATATATTCATTTGCTACCACTGGAATCGTGTTGTTATCTTGTATCCTAGTAAACAATTGTAAAATTTAATTAATTTCACATTATACACTACAATTAAAATGCAAATTATTCAAAAGCAATAGAAATTAATTAAAAACTCACATTGGTTTTTGGCATCCACATGGATAACGTTTGTTTCGCATCCTGTAATGAATATATAAAAGAAGAATCAATATTGTTATTTTAATAGCAATACAATTTTATTTTTTGTTATTGTAAAATTTGTTTCTAAATTTTTTCGATGTGACTAATATTTCATAGATACAAAAAAGCGACATTTTCAAATTGAATGTTTAGAAATTTGATCAACTCACCCTTCCACGCATTTGCATCTGTCCGATCTAATACATGGGAATTAGTACTGCGTGTTATTCATTTCAATAATATCAGAAGTATGATATCGCCAGTCATACAAAGCGTAATTCTCGCCAGGAATATAATTTTGATACACTTCTCAGCGCACTTATATTTACTACATGCTTTTAAGATTGTGACTTTGTAAGAAATAAGTTTTACTGAAATAAAAACATTAGGAAGACGCGCATGTATGACCAGCGTGACTCACTTTTCACTTTCCTGACTTAGTAATTCTCTCATTCTGGCATCGCACACACAACTTTTCTCACTGTCGGACGAAAACAGAATTATTTCTGACGTCATTATTCCTCTTTTTGTCCGGTCCATATGTTGAAAACGCTTACTTTTCTTTCAAGAAGCTGACGTAAAGAAATAGCATCCCGGTAAATCCGATAATGAACTTTCCGAGATACCAAGCGAAATCGGTCGTGCAGTGCGGCATCGCGAATATCCCGAGCCGCTGTCAACAATTTGGCTCACTTGATATAATTCGATATTTTGATAAGGTTGATATTAACATTTTTATTACGCGAAGCGGTTTCGCACAGAAACAAATGATAAACTTGTCTTCTGATGTGTCAAAAATCTTGGCAAGTTGCAGACGCTGGTTTAAACTAGCGATGTGTTTGCAATTTTTTTCGATTGATCGAATAAGTGTAGAATCGATAAAAATTTGATACAAGCCATCACCCTGAAACTACATTCGTGTTTTTCAGCATCCTTTCAACGTTTTATCTGAAAAAAAGGTAAGAAATTCATTAAATTTAAGTTAACATTAATGATTATTTACAAGAGAAAACTTCTTGAATACTTTGTACAAAATGTGAAAATTATATTTATATCTTTAACCAATCGTTTCGGTCGATGCCGAACGAATAAGCATTAGATAGTTTTGTTGATTTGGATATTTGGAGGTGTAACATCGTCTCAGAGCCATGTGCTTCCTAGTGGTCCCCATCGCGACTAAGATGAGAAAGATGTTGAATGACCTGTCAACATATTTGCTGTCTTGACAACACTCTCAGGCAGAACTGCACAGGAACGAAGGAAAAAGGAAAAAGCGCCCAAGATGACACCCCTTCGTTCCACGCTCATTAGGATGAATTCCTCGGTACGTGTCACGCATGTCTACTGGCATATGTAAATTTAAACTTGTCCAACCATACGATCCTTTTTTTCTGAGAAAGAGTCTGTGAAAAAATCTATTACTGATATAAAAGATCTTTTGAATCGCTCAATGCAGAATATTACAATCCAGAATCAGAGGGCACTGCAATTTAAAACAATATATACGCAAATATACATTATTAGATCGAATTAATTAGTCGAGATAGAACAGATTTAATTTAAAACACACGGGTTTTTTGTAAACGCGCACATGAAATTCAAGAATTATAGCAAGCTCCGAAATTTTATGAATATTTGCAATCGCTCGAAGGAAGATTAACATGAAATTTGAAAGTTACTCCGAGATATTTGAACATTGTTAGCGACAATTGTCCGTTACACCCGATCAACGTAACAATACAATCTTTTCCGTTCCCTTATTCACGGTGGGGTCGGGTACCGCAAAAATAGAAGACAGACAATCTCGCTCTACTAACAAAACGTTGTGCGCCAGCAGCTGCAACCATATGGCATTCTTTCTGTGATCTTGCTTTAAGAGCTCGTTAATACGATCCTCTCGGATGTTGCCAACACACAGTTAATATTAGTTTCGAGTATGTTTTCTTAATGTATGAGCGACACCGCGGACTTCCACCAGGGCTTCTACCCCGATAACCACCTGGTTAACATCCTGGGTACTTGATGTTATTTCTGAAAGGATATTGCGTCGGTTCCGGGCACCGTGTTTTAATTAGGCGGCTTCTCTCTGTTGAACAAACTAAATGTATTTCTTATTACATAACACTTATGAAGAATATCAGACGTGAATAAGATTAAAAGGCAAATTAGATTCAATCGTAAACAAAACTCCCTTTAATTGCGAAAGATAACAAAGTCGAAATTAATAAAGGGATTCTAAACTAATTAGTTTTCGAGTTCCATCAATTTGTTGCATAGATGCAAGACAATTAAACGTTATTCACAATTTATGTATGTGTGTGTACACGTGTCAGCCTTCTAACGATCTAACGAAACATCGATATGTTTCCATCATGCAAACTGTAATCAAAGAAGTTGTAGCCGTTAACGAAGGATTTTCTTTCGTGGAGTTACTCATAACAAGAACACGAAGAGAAACATAGTGGTCCATTGGTTCGCAGCCGACGAAAGCGGCGGAGTTTCTTGAGCTTTCGAGCCAATGAGAATACGTTCGTCTTCTAAAAATACATTTTGAATCAGTAGGAGGAGATGAAACGACACCTCCTTCGCAAGAGACAAGAAACATTCTTATAAGTAAGTATATATCTCTTCCAGTAGAGATGAGTAGAACGTCGCGGCAACTCAGTCAACGCATCCGAGAAGAGAGTTAAACAATAAGTTCGATACAATAAGTTTGATTAGAACTTGAATAAAGGAATCTCGCGCGTCTTCCTGATTGACAATCGTATCGCAGTAAAACAGTGGAAAGGAGATGTCTACGAAAAACTGAATTTTTCGCGCAAAATCGGTGTACGATTCCAGTTCGCTATGCTACTTAAAGATCGAAAAGAAAGGATCGATCGTGTGCGTACAACAAGGAACAAAATCTATATACACAATATTTCAAGTAAAACTTACTTGAACGCGTTGGTTTTCTAAATCTGAACGAATTTTTCGCGACTTCCTAGACGTACCGATTATCATGCTGCGATATGTGATTGCGCACGTTGTGAAACAAGCGTGTTTAACATCGATTACGCATTGAACAATCTGGAACGGTCTACGTAATTATTAGCAACTTAAAGTTGAATTAAAACTCGCATACTCTAGCATTTACATGTCATTCAAAGTAATATAAAAGGATGAAAACTGACGGAATATCCGGTACGTCCAATCGTTTGAATCAAAACATGGAGCAACGTTTGAGGAGTCCGAAGTGCGCGAGATGTCGAAACCACGGTGTGATATCCGGTCTGAAAGGTCACAAGAGATCCTGCGCATGGAAGGACTGCCGATGTCCTTGTTGTCTACTGGTCGTCGAAAGACAGCGGGTGATGGCAGCGCAAGTTGCTTTACGCAGGCAACAGCAAGCACAAGGTGACAGCCTCCTGTCTTCAGCAAATAAAGCACCAGCGGACACCGTAAATCCTTATTACGTTAAAACGAAATACGACGAACCGGACACTGTCTGCGGCAGAAAATCCAAGAATTTTCAAAGGCATCATTTACATTTCACGCAAACAAGTATCAGCGTGACGCAGGGTTTTTACGGATTAAATGCCGTACATAATTTGCCAGGCACATGTAAGCATGATCTCATACCTTAACATTTCTTTAAGATACATTTCGTCAAAAAAAAAAAATGTAGTTTGTGGCTGCGTTTCAGTAAAAACTTAATAAAAAATCGATTAGAAAAAAGATTAATATTGCAAATGTAAAAGTTTTGGAAAAATTTGATCTATTAATCTAATCTGTATCTAATATTTCAATCCTGTTTTAAATTCTTTTGCATAATCGTTTTTAAAATACAGCTTATTCAATAAGCGCTTTCAGTAAATTGACTTATTCAAAAACAGATATTCTGTACATTCTATATATTTCATTTAAAACGCAGCAATAAATGTAACAATTTAATAAGAAAAGATTAAATTTCCTTTCTAATTCTCTTTGTGGCAAAAAAAAATACTATATTTCAATATTTATCGATATATCAATGAACAATTGTATGTCAAATCTTACTTACAAAAAATGATTTGCACATTTCAGTATCACCACATCCGCGTTTGTTGAGCACTCTATCTTCTCTTGGATGCAATCAAAAACAAGAAGCTGAGCCCTCGCTGAAAGTACAATCCTTCCATTCTGCCTATCCGACAATTCCATGGTTCAACGAAGTAACGCAATCGTATTTGGCGAATGGAGACTTGAACAATTTTATTTCCACGAGGGATTTACGGAACTGTCCTACTACAAACAATGAATCTTGTTTAGAAAAAAAAGCACCGATTTCCTTCAGCGTGGAATCCATTATTGGTACGAAATAAAATCCCAATATATTAAGATTTCAATCGTAATAACAATTAATTTTATATACATAAGGAGATTCGTGAGAGGTGAACATTTTTATAGATGTTGTGCGAACTGTTTAGCAACAGTCACAAGTTAATCTCGATTCTTTAATATATTTTAGTAATTAAAAGAAGGATATTTAAACAATGCTTATATAGAATTTATTGTTCTATACATGAATACCAACTCTAATAAACATATTCAATATATTTGTAGCAATAACAATGCAGAATTGCAATGCGATGTCCCTGTTGATATGTATACGTTGCGTATCTCTCCCTAATGTTAATGCGGCAAAGCCCGAGCGTTGTGATTCCGCGTAATATCGTAGATCAAAAATCATATGTTACGTGTTATCGCAGTACTGTATCTTACTTTAAGGCACGGGCATGATATTACTTATTACTTTCAAGCGTTTTGCTGCAACGTTTCATGTATACGTCCATTTCGGAAAAGTCGGATAGAGTATTATAAGTAATGTCATACAGAATACACGGCCACTGCTTCTCTAAAACTTGCAACTTTCGTATGGCATTTATAGTGAGATTGATCAAACTTAGCAAGTGTACTTTTCCCTTGTGTCTCCAAATAAGGTCCTCCTGTAAACAGATTGTGGACACACACTTCAATCAAAATCTTACCGTTTGTTACAATTTTCAAGTATGTACTAACTTGTAAAATCTAGCATAAAACACTATCTATTATAACAGATAATACAACTTTTTTTTCAAACTTTCATTACCTGTGTTACATTTCCTTTTCTCCACTGTAACGCTTCCTTGGCAACGACACTTCTAAGCGCCGGGTCGCAGTTGAACAAAAATTGTTTGGCAGTAATTTGCTCCCCGCTTTGTCTTTGCACTTTTTCTAAATGAAGTCTTTGTAACAAAGGTTGTAATAAAGAATCTGGCAGTGAACACATAACTATATCAACGAGACCAGCGTATTCTCGATTTGCGAGTTCGATTTCTTCAGCCGTAATCTATAAAAAAATTGCAAATTTTTAATTATAATAGATTTACTGCATTCATATTCTTCGTTAAAACAAATCTGGCATTAAAAAGATGAGCAGTAGCTATATTTGAAAGCTATACCTCCTTGCCATTGATAATTGCAAGTCCCCAATGAGCTAATCGAAATATAGCATACATTTTCCAGTCCTTGGACACAATAGGATTTCCCGCATCTACTTGTATGCTCGTCAATCCCTGTACTTCAGCCAGAGCATTCAGCTGACCAAGAAGACTGATGTTAGTTTCTTTGAACACGAAATGTTCCGCGTGAGGAAATCTATTTTTCACTTTGCTTAGAATCTTCGCCACGTCGTTAAATTGTACATAATTAAATTTCACAACATTGACATCTTGAGCCTTTGACACGTCCCAAGTCCTATCTATAAAGCGTAAAGCACCTTGACCATAAATGTTTAAGCATCGACCAACAATCTCTATTAAATAATCTCCGCCTGCAAAGATATTTTATTTCAAACATAAGCGCATAAGACAACATTAGAAGAAATAAAAAAATTTTAGCCTACCCTGTTCCCTCTCTTTAGGTGGTATTTGTTGGGGCGGCGGACTTGGCGGAGCGAGAGCTTTCGCTCTCGCCGTCGCGGCTCTATTACTCTTATAGTATTCTACCTTCTTTGCTTGAGCACTCTTAATTCTACCTTTATCGCACTCGTGAGATTTGTGAACTACGTTCTTAGGAATTGATAAAGTGCCAGAATCTCTTAACAATGATTTACAACTATCTAAACTGCTAGTCTTTGAGCTCAACGAGCAATAGCCAGAACTTATAGTCGATTTTGACTGACAATTACTCTGCTCGTCTTGATTATGAAATATTTTTATATTTTGAATCAATTTGTTGCTTAAGCTTTTATGTTCGTTCATTGCCGTGTCGCAGTGTGTCAAGAATCTCTGAGTAACCGTCTTATCCTGCATGTGGCTCTCATGATCTTCATCATTGAAACTTTCCGTGGTAATCGGAGATACATCCTTCGCTGCAGTAAACTTTTTACAGATAGTAGACTTGTCGTAATCCATAGATGAGGCGCAACTGTTATTCGGAGTAAACAGATGACATCTCAAACCACTTTTTAAACTTTCATGGCTCTCCGAACTGTTAGATTCGCTATCCGATAAATTATCCATGCTATTAAGCATCTTCATTTTACGAGCATTTTCTTTATTAAGCAATTTATCCTCGGATTTATTGGTTGTTAAACTATCTACTATCGAACCCAATATAGGCGGAAGCTTGAATTCCAAAGGATATGATTTAGAGGTATCTTCGAATTTGAACAAATTATCGCTGGAGCTGCTTCTCTTTTTTATATGTATCTTTTTTGCTTCCACATTTTCATTTATCGATGTAAGACTACCGAAGCCCTTGGTTTTAGCTTTGTCTAAACTTTTCGGATTTATAGCATTAAATTTATTTGAACTTTGTACGTGTAATATATTGTTGCCTGTATTATTGCCCATCATTCTATTGGAATTATCATTAGGGACTTTAGTTCTAGATCTGAGAAATTCCCAATTTGTTTTAGCATTTGATATCACCTCTTCTCTGCGCACGTTCATGCAAACTTGTGCACTGAGATCAAGGAATGCCGAATTAGTCTGTTCTTTAGAGGATCTCCAAGCCATTCCTGTTCTCCGAATTTGTTCGTTAATTTGTATTGTTGATAAAAGTTGTAGATTTGGCAGATATGAGACAAGGAAAGGGATATAATCAGTATTTGAAGTTACTGGATTGCCATCTATTGTTATCTCCTTAATTTGCAAAGCTTTTGCGAGGCTACTCATATCTTCGATTCTGAAAGATTAAGATAACTCGACTTTATATGTACTTCAAATAAATATTTTTTCATTTAATTGTTGTGAGAAAGGAACAAGTTAAGGAACATATAAAACAATACGAAATTATATAATAAAAATCAAATTTGTACATGTAAATATATATATTTAAAATCAATATAAAATATAATATAAAAATATAATATAAAAATAGGTATAAATATAAAAAAACATGTAACAAAACAGAATAAAACATTTTCTACTAACTACATAATAATCTTTAAAATACTTACTTCTGAATATCATTGTTACTCAAATATAATTTTTGCAATTGTGGCGTTTCACCAAAGCCTAACAATTTTTTTAATTTATTTCGCCGCAGATTTAATTCTTTTAATGAGATTAATCCTTGAAAATCATTGGAACCTATAGTTTTAATGTTATTTCCTGCTAAATTGAGCACTTTTAATGATGATAAATCCTCCAAGCCAGTAATTTGCTGAATCTGATTGCCATGCAAGTCCAAAACTTCTAGCTTGAAAAGATGCTTTAAACCCTCAATTTTTCTTATTCTGTTCTTCCCTATTAAAAGCACTCTTAAATTTTCCAAAAGATCGAGATTGCATACTTTCTCTATTTGATTATCGTATAAATCAAGAAATACAAGTTTTGTCAATTGAGAAAAGTTAGAACTTTCAATCTTGGTCAAGAGATTATGCTGAAGAGACATTAATCGCAATTTCGGCTCCCCAATTACATTGGGAAATGTTGTCAGACCTCGCCTATCGAGACATATTCTGTCAGGGTTCTTTTCTCGTTCGGCAGGAGTTCTTGATGCCACAATTGTTCTTGCTTCTCCTGTCCATTGTAATGTAACAACATCACACCCTTCAGCTTCAGCATGTTCAATCTCAAATTGGGTTCCAGTAGAACTATATCATGAAATACAAAACCAATAATTTTGTGCAATAAAAATACTTTAGACAACTTATATTAAACAAAATTAACTCTTTTCTACTTTATCCCATAAAACAATTACCTAAATGAGTTATAAGAACGCTTTGATAGCTTTGGAGGTACTGGTGCACCTGGCAAAATTGGCAAGGCAGCTGCTATTGTTAAAAATTGATTTTCCCCTGGAATGCCACCTCGAACAGTTGATTTACCTTTTACATCAAATGATACTTTCTTCGTCTGTAAAAAATACAGGGCTCATAGATCACTATAGATCACTAACAAATAGGTTACAGATTTATCACATACTCTACAATAAATTATTAGAATTTTTCTTAAAAGTTATGTCGTCTCTATTTAATGAAAATGAATTTATCCGAAACAATAATTGTTTAAATTACATATTTTGTAAAACAGAATTCTCTTACCCGTGTCGTAGTATTGTTGCCTAATGGCATTACATAACCGAGACATAAAAATGTAATTAACCCATCAAAAGAATGAACCATATATTTTATATCTAACATTTAAAAATATTTCACATTTTTGTGATATACTCTGTGGAACGTCAGTTATAAATCGTAGTTAAATGCTTGATTCAAGACGTCAGTATAAATAACATTCCTTGTTTGTCATTGCGCATTCCTGTTTACGTATATGTCATAAACCAATAATGTAAGAAGACGAGATCTATACCATCGCTAATGCTAGTATTTGCCAGTACAGAAATTCTCCACGAATGATGAAGGATAATATGGCACATCTTGTTTTTTTTATACATCATGACCTAATCCTAACCTACAAAAAGTAAGGGTAGTGATGTACACAATGAATTTCTCCGTGTTGCATCGGTTTTTTCATTTTCCAAAAAGCTCCATAATTCCGATTCAATATACGATACAAACGCAAAATTATGCTGGACCAGGTAAATGAATTGTCATCACATCAATATGCGTTAAATCGATCTTTTCGCTACTTTGATGTATAAAATTAAGGTTATGTATATATTAATATGTTGTATGATATTGACAATTAATAATATAAAAACCTTTAATTTTGAATAATAATTATTGGCAACATATTAATTAGAAATATGTACATTATACAGATTATATACATAACAAATATGCATAAAATAGTGAAAGATTAAGAAAGAAAATTGCCAATTAAAATTTATTAGTTAACTGTGACTATTGTTTATAGTTGTATAATTACAGTTGCATTAAATCTTAATAATAGATATAATATTTATAATAATAGTCTTTCTTTATTACAGTCCGGTCGGGAGTGAAAAAAACAAAGAAAACAACAGTAGTTACATTGGAAAAAAAATTATTACCTGTAGAAAAAGATGTTAACAGACTTGTGACTTATGTGTGTGGCACAAATATTAACAAGGAGGGAGAAGATATTAAAATAAAGGAAGATTCTGAATATCCTAGCTGGTTGTGGACCATTAGAACTGGTCCTGCGCCAACATTGGAAGAATTAGATCCAGATACAAAACAGTATTGGAGAAAGCTGCGATTACTTGGATTGAGAAGAAACAATAAAGAACGTGCAACTAGGAAGTTTTAATTTACGTTATGACAAATGTATTCCATATATGTACAGTCGTAATATACACAGCATTGTTGAATATTACTTTTATATTGTAAATTAATATAAAGGTGTCAAAATAAAGATAATAGTTGTCATTTGTTCATGCATTTGTTCTAATAAATTCTTTCACACATATAAACAAATTACTGCATTACTTATCACACTTATCATAGTCACATGAGTGAGGAATAAGATTTCTGTTAAAATGATTCATTGATTAGATAAGCACCTTAAATACAGACAAGCCTACTCATTGCAATCAGTGTTTTGCCGCTCAGAATAGATTCGTAATTAATGATAAATTGGGCGTTGTCTCGTAATAAGGAAGTACATGGCATTATCATAATTCTTATCACCATCCAATCATAATTTCAGTGATATAATTTATTTGTTTGCTATTAGAAATCTCTGCAGGATATAAAGATTGCGCCGACAGGTTTTCTCTATATAAACGTGCACGCGACACGAGTTATTATGTCTGCTCCATAAAATTATCTAATAATCGATAAACGATCTTTAGCCATTTGGTAAGTGCTACGCGATATTAAAGTACACCTGATAAAAAAAGAAAACGCAATTTGATTCGACACAAATATTTGATGGTAATTATTTTTTTAGAATTATTGTTTAATTGCGATGAAAGAGCGGCAATTCGAGGTATTTAAATCTATAATTAATCCCGAACTATCTAGCTGCAATGTATAAGTTTGTGAAATTGCATTTATGTTGTGTTTAAATCATATTCACGGTTACTAAATGTTATATTTAAAAGTTGTGTTAATATTATTTCAACTCGAAAGTGAATTATGATGGTTTACTTATCCTTGCAACAGTGTATAAACAACATCTGTTTTCTTGATTATACACTTTTTATCATTATTTTGTCGATTCTATATTGTTGCAAATGTTGCGATCTTTACGTTCATTTGTGCATAATTCGTTGAGTTATCGAGTGAATTTATATTTATATAATGATAATTAATTCTTCGCACTTGTGGAATGTTTGCATGGAGATTTTAATTGCAAAATATTTAAAAAATATCACAAACAATAAAGCATTTATTTGACTTAGAATTAAACATGCAATATAACTGTTCCTGTTGAAATAAATCGAAGATATTTTTTTATTTGTTTATCGAGAACTACGTAACACATCTTTATCAAGTTTAGCCAACTATTAATACGATGTAAAAAAAAATCATAATAAGTATCATGTTTAGAAATTTAGAAATATGCTCGAAAAACTAATGCAATATAAAATCCTAATCGGAGCGAGTTGCTGTTCTTTCCATTTTATTACATTTTGCATTAAATTAAAATATATAGAAATCGCCCTTTAAATACATGTATCTATATGGACAACCGTGAAAACAAACAGGTGTTCAGATCTGCATGTTAATTATAGAATCAAGTGTTCAATGCAATTATATAATGACATTCGTCGCACCTGTGTGTTTTTCAAAATCTTTGATCGTAATAATACGTATTATTCATATGCACACGAATGAATTGTACATTATCAGCATTATCATGATCAGAAATTGTATTACTTTGGTGGAGTATATATACGATGTACGCGAAATGAAATTTTGGTATTATATTACTAAGTACCATTGGATAAATCAACTCTGGCTACAAGGTACAGACAGTGCATTCAATTATGATCGAGTTATTTTCCGAATTATTACGATCGATACAAGTAACATTAACAATCTTCGGAAAGTAAAACTTGCGAGTATTACAATAAACATTTCATTAAGCACACTTATGTGTGCATTATGTATTTATGTTAATGATAGTCTAAAATTCAAAGAGCGTAAAATTATTTCTCCAAGTTTAAATTTCGATGACAAACAATTTGCAGATGAATCGTTGGATACTAATTTTCGCAGCTCTGGCTGCTATGGCTTCGGCTGCAAAATCAGACAGTGAGTATCGATCAATTGGAAAATCGTTCTTCCACAACGTGAAATAACGCTCCTTTTATTTCGCAGAGAAGATCGTGTGCTACTTCGGCAGCTGGGCCGTTTATCGACCAGGAGACGGCAAATTTGACATCTCCTACATTCAGCCAAATCTTTGCACTCATCTCATCTACACCTTCGTCGGTATTAGCGAGCAGGGAGACATCCGAGTTTTAGACGCATGGCAAGATCTTCCCGACAATTGGGGCAAAGACGCTTTCGGCAGATTCAACAAGCTTCGCGAGCAGAGCCCCGAAACTAAAACGCTCATTGCCATCGGTGGATGGAACGAGGGATCCGCCAGATATTCCGCCGTCGTCGGCAATCCGACCCTTCGCGCGAGATTTGTCCAGAACGCCGTTGACTTCGTGCTGAAATATAACTTCGACGGTTTCGACTTGGATTGGGAGTATCCCAATCAGCGTGGCGGCAAACCGGAGGACATACAGAACTTCGTGCTGCTGACTAAGGAGATGAAAGAGGCGTTCCAGAAACATGGACTCATCCTCAGCGCTGCCGTTGCTGCCGCCGAGACCTCCGCCTCTCTGTCCTACGACATCGCCCAGATATCCAAGTACTTGGACTTCATCAACATTATGGCTTACGATCTCCATGGTGCTTGGGAGAAACAAACTGGCCACAACGCTCCGCTTTACCCGCGCAAGGGCGAGAGTGGAAACGACCTTAAACTCAATGTCGTAAGGATCTCTTTTCTCAAACTTATTGAACTTAATTGTTCTGCAAGTATATTAAAATCAGCGCGAGTATAACGAAAATATTCCACTGATAATGGCCTTTTCTCTCGTAGGACGCATCTGTACGCTACTGGTTGGACAGTGGCTGCCCACCTGAGAAGCTGATCCTTGGCGTGCCATTCTACGGTAGGGCATTCACTCTCGCCGATAAGAGTCAGACCGGTCTTGGAGCTCCTGCCAAGGGACCTGGCGCTGCTGGCCCATACACTCGTGAGGGTGGAATGCTTGGCTACAACGAGATCTGCGACTTCTTCAAACAAGGCGGATGGACTGTTGTCCGTCATGAAGAACACCGCACCCCATACGCTTACAAGGGCGATCAATGGTTTGGCTACGACGACGTGATGTAAGTATCTTCTTTCTCACAGAAATTTCTTTACATCGCAATTCTTTTGCCATGGTTTTCTATAATTTAAGTAATCTCTGCCGACACACATTCTATATGTTTCAACTGTATTATGTATGCAACATAATTACTTTATGCAGTTCTCTTACCGAGAAGACCAAATACATCAATTCTTTGAATCTTGGTGGTGCGATGTTGTGGAGTATCGAGACTGACGATTTCCGTGGCAATTGCGGCGAAAAATATCCTTTGTTGAAAACATTGTATGCTGGTCTGCGAGGAGGAGTCCCAGTAGAGCCGCCTAAGGATCCTGAGGGAAAGCCTGATCCTGAATCAACCCAGCGACCAACTCAACCACCTGTGACTGCTCCCCCCAGTGGTGTTTGCAAAAAAGAGGGTTACGTTCGCGATGAAAAAGACTGCGGCGTGTTCTACCTTTGCCAGAATGTCAACGGCGTTTACCAACCACAAAGATTTGATTGTCCGGGTGGGCTAGCCTTCGATCCTGAGATCAACGCTTGCAACTATAAAAATCTTGTTCCCGGATGCAATTAAACAATAATAAATATATGGTGTCATCTACGCATAAAAACGCTTCTACCTGATATACGGTGTGCAGCATAAATATGTCTTTACGTTTTGTATTGGTTATTATGTAAACATAAGTGTTAAATCGTTTTCATATTTTTTGTAATGATTCTCGCATGTTTAAAATAAAACGCATAACAGACACTGCTTTTATATCTCATTGGATCAATTGTCATCAGTAGTAAAACTGTCGGAATAAAATAAAAAATGTAATCACGAGTTAATCTTTTTTCATATTATAAACGCTTTGCGTTTAATGTAACATGTCAAAAGCTTTAAAGTTAAAATTCCTAATCTACAGAATCTATTATATATATTAGAAGATTTAGTAATATATATCCATCTTATGTATGTTAGTATCAACACTGCCCATTTTGTGGCTGATCGCACGATTCTGTAATCGTGTTGAATATTAATCCCGATTGACAATAGTACGCTAATGGTATGTCACGTTCATATTTGCAACGATAAAACTTGCCGCAGTTGAACGGGTCTCTTAAATAGCCTTGCTTCATGCAGTTCGGCAATAGTGGGACTGCTGGAACAGTTGGGAATGCATGTAAGGCAGGGTCCTTCGGTGCCAATTGGTCCACGGCTGGTAGTTCCTCAAAATTCAGCTCGTGCACTTCTCTGAATTTCGGAACCGTTACGAATGTGTGTGCCACAGTGGACATTAAAAACCATAAGATGCAATAAAATATGCGCCGCATCTGTAAGATGTTTCAATAATAATTGCTTTCTGCTTGCTAATTGCACAAATCAATATATAATGACCGTCTGATACATCCACTAATTTGTATCAGATGTCCGAACACAAACATTTCATACAGATTAGGACTTTTACAAGAGATCTACTCACTTTAAATGCAAAAAATGTCTATCTGGTGTAAATACACGTTGCACACTCAAGATCGATTTTTGGGTGCAAGTTACACTTGAACCGTAACTTGAAAAAAATGAGTATCGTATAAGACTATGACATTTGACGAACTAATGCTTTAATCTTTGAAAGCTTCTATTTATATGCAAACATGGGATTTCCCATTTTTCATCATATTGATGCATTACGTCATTCACAGCGCAAAATATTACGCAGAATATTTTATGCCGGATAAACTATCGTGTTTCCTATTTCGATATAGCTGTCAGTTTGATAATAACACGATTGCTTATTCTGCGAAGTATGATTTCTAATAGGGTCATTTCACTGTTGTAGGTCAAGGCAGAGATATGTATAATTTCTTTAATCATTGCTTTGGAATATTCAGATTAGAATATTTACTATACTTACATTATCAAAAAGTCTATATCAAATATTGATTATAATATTTTACTGGAATTGCACATATTGCAATATTGAAATTACTACTCAAGTTACTTGTGCCTATAAAACAAAAGAATTGGAAAATAAAGTGAGAGTAGTCATATTAACATTATTAAAAAAATGAAATACGATAATTGATTTTTAATTTAATTAAATCTAGTATTAAAAATACTAGAAGTATCGGTATTTTTTATTAAATTATCGTTATATACTTTATGAGACATTTTTGGTTTATTATTTGCTGCATATTTTGCTTTAAAAATAAAATAAATGTGTATTTCAATGCATCAAAGAAAAAAAACCAAAAAAGCTAAAAATAACAAGTTATTCTGCATGAATAGAATTGACAAACCACAAAAATAAATAATGGATTATATGTACATACAATGTACATGTACATTCAATTTTTCTATGATAGATATATTAAATTGTTATATAAAATTTATTAAAAACAGTATTTATTTGTTCTTACGTGTATTCATGTATATTGGGATATATCTGGAAATTGTGCAACATAACTATATTTTCTTTTTGGTTCCTTTTCTGATTTTGTACGATTGGATTTTACTGATAAAACATTGATTATGTTTGTCGTAAGTTCCACTGGCCTAAGTGATCCAAAGAAATCTGTTACTGGCACTTTATCTGGATCTCTTCTAAACAAATCCCTCCTTACACCCACTGTAGATAAACAATAATCTCTTGGGCATACTTTTAACTGGAAAAAAGTTAACATTGTTAGTGAAATCAATACAGTACAAACAATTTAAATATTTCTAACATTAAAATAAGATATTTGTAATATACTTACAAATTCACCCAATGTTTTTGTACTAGATGGTTCTACCTTTTCCAGGAAGTTTAATGCGTAATACGTATACCGATCTATAATGTAGACACCGATGGCAGGATCAACATGATGCTGTAAATATAGTATGCTTAGATAAAATAGGCATTACTTGAACAGAATAACATAAATACAATATTAGCTTGTTACTTACTGAAAGTGAATCTTCTCCTACTAAGCTAGAAGCAACTGCTAATATGTTGGGAGAATAAAATTTCTCATACATTGAGCTTGCCTGGCAAGTATCAACCACAAATAAGATTTCATGATATCTTCGCTTCTGCCACATTTGCTCTAATGCATCTCCTAACTCTTGACTAGTAATTTCTTCAGAATCTTGGAACTTTAAGATCCATTGCCACCATGACCAGTTAAATATATTAATATATTTGAACCTTCATCGGTCAATAATTTTTTGGATCTTGGAGTTTCCTGTGCTAAACGACCAGTCAATAATCTCACAAAATTTTCTACAGTTACTTCGTAGCCTCTGTAATCAACTTCTACATCATCTCCGTAAACATTAATGTGTTGCTTAATGTTGTTGAACACAGTTGCTGGTCTAGGATTTCTAGGATTGCATGCCATATCATCTGCTATCATAAGGATGATTTGTGAATCTGGTATCCCTAAACGTTTGACACTTCGATAAATAGATAAAACATTTGCAACGTGTCGGTAGTTAAACCAGAAACGTGACGTATCCACCAACACTGCCCAGTTGTTGGAATGTTCAGTTTTTGCAAAGTTCTCTGGTATCTGTAAATTTAATACGTAATAAAAAAAGTACAAATCTTCAATTTTGTTTAATAAAAAAGGTATATACCTCCCATGCGTAGCACAATACTAAACACGAAATTACAGTCGTTGTATAAGATATCAAATGCATTTTAAAGTACTTGAAAATATTATCTAAAGTAAGGTTATTTCTCAATTATATATATACGAACTCTAAAAGTGCTCGTCATAAATTGTATATAGTACTATCGTCTGAAAGACATTCTAATACTTTATGTATACTATGTACACCTTATTTTATGACTGCTCTGTCATTTTTGCAATTATTTCTAAAAATTGATAAGGGCACAAGAACTCAACATTCAACAATACAAAAGAATCGAACACACCGACTAACAGTGACGCGTATGACACCTGCCGTTTTTCTTTCTAATCGTGTTGCTAACGTATATTCCGTTGGTAATGTAGTTGGACAATAATTGCGGAGACGTATTCGAATTCGGTCCATATTTTTTGTGAGTGTTACCGTTTAAATGTGAATCTTGCGCACAAAAAATGTCTCGTACGCGAATATCTTTCGTAAGTATCGAATACTTGATACATAACACATAAAAAATCATGTACAATTATTATTGAGATTTTGGCATTGCGATGAGCCGCTTTTTCGTGCCCAGAATCGATCAAAATCTTCCTTCGTATATTTCATATTATTCTTTCGTCGAAGTGTATTGAATATGCAATAATCATGATCAGGTACAGGAATAATAATTTTTAATAATTCACTATTTCCAATAGTTTTTATTTTTATTAAAATATTTCGAATTTTATTTCTACGTTAAGTAGGTTAGGTTTAATTGCACTTTCAGTGTTTAATATTTCTATTGCTGTTACTAAATGCAGAAGTGCAGTTGAAATGGACAAATTTAATTGTGCAATGTGATTGGTTTGCCGTTTCGATTGTTTCGAAATTTTACGAATCGTAATATCGCAATTTTTTATAAATCTCAAATTGCGAGAAGTCAGTAGTGCGTCGCAACGGACCGCGAAGTCGCATTCAAATTCTTCTGCATTTTTCGTGATACTGTTCGTCTAATTGTAAGTGTGAATTTCACGCAGGAAGTTTCTTTTCTAAAGTGTCGACGTAATGCGTTAATAATCGCATATAATCACTATTATTGCGATTTCCGTTTCGCGACTATCCGCTTTCCGCGGAATCGATAGAAATCTCCTTCACATATTTTATATTATTTTTTCGCCGAAGTGTATTAATGGCTATTACGTATGTATGGTTTTATTCAATAATTAGCGGCGTAATTCACATTAATTACGTCTTTTTTATAATAGTTTATAATAATTTATTATTTCAATTATTTCTATAATATTTGTTAAAATATTTAAAAATCTATTTTTACTTTGTGTAGGGGTTATGTTTACTTTAATCGCATTCTTTATACTCATTTTTTCTGTTGTGCTATTAAGTTCAAAAAATGCAATTGAAATAAATAAATCTAATTACTGCGATGTAATTGACAGTTTTGATTGTTCTGATTGGAGTAATCGCAATATTGTAACATTCATAATATATTAAACATCGCGTACAATCGTGAGTCACGTATGTAAGTTATTTATTTGTTGTTTTTTAACATTTTTTGGACAAACTAATTTTTAATCAAAGTTATAATAAATATGTAATATTTACGAATATTCGAGTTCTATGTATAAAAATATTCTGCGTTTACATGCGAAAAATTTTGATTTCATACATAAAATTTTGTGCGTAGATAAAGAACATAGAAGAAAACAGCGCCAGGAAGGGAGAAAGAGTGGTAGCAGCATCCAAAAATACATGGACAGATATTCGACAAAAAAGAAAAAGAAAAAGATGAGCCGGATCCGTGCTGAAACAACCAAGGTGAGTGGACTTTCAATTTCTGATGACCCGCATTGATATCGCGCAATATGCGATATATTTGAGTAATGAGTTGAAATAATGAGTTTCGACACATATTTAAAAAAAGACTTAAGTATAGGTTTCAATATAGTGGGTTTTAAATAGGATTGGACATTTTTTACAGCACAACTGTAATTAATAATACTATTATAATTGATTACCACATTATAATAATTTATTTAAACATTTATACATCTATATATATATAATATATATAATGTGTCCACAGTCTTGAAAGCAATTGCGAGTTTATATATATATACATATATATTATGTATATATAAATATATACATAATTCATATGTATACATGGGGTGTTTGAAAACAGGCGAGATATATGATTGACACAACAATATCTCTCGTTAAAAACTGAAATATCTCAATAAAAATTGCCAAAAAATTAATTCATAAACTGCAATTAAAAGAAAAAATTTTTGCAAAACCTGTAAAGTTGAAATATATTGAGTTTTAACAAAATCTTTGACACTAAATTTCATATTGAAACTTGTAAGAGCTGTCGACAAATATAACTATTTTATTCGATAAAAAAAGACAGTTCAGTTTTCAGAAAGGAACATTGTTTTGTTTATCACATAAATACGCCTATTACCAAATATCCTGTACAATTCTGTAAATACATATATATTTTTATACGGGTTGCCCGACAATTATTACCACTCTATTCTTCTACGAATCCTCTGACTAATCTAGGATCGATTTTTTTCTGAATAAGTTTTCACACACCAATAGTTTTGGCGTTATAAAAATTACAAATTTTTGCCAAATAAAGTTTCGAAGATGAAGAATATCTGACTCTTTGATTAATACCAGATAGATTTTATTTGAAATAGTTTCAATGTCCAATTTAACTTGAGACGAAAAATAGATTCCAAATTGGTCAACGAATCTGTAGGTGAAAAAAATGGCAGCATACCCTGTATAGGTATATGCGTATACAAGATGTCATTAGAACGTCCGACTAAAAATAAACTTCGGGAACACATTTCTCACGTCACGAAAAAGTAAAAATATTTTACATCGTAAAGAAATTGTCTCGCGCAATGTGTATATGTATATACATACATACGTAACGTCTTATTATAATTTCGAGAGCTTGAAGAGTTTTTAGAAATAATTCGAAAAAGAAAGGACATTTTTTCCGAGTTATCGGAGTAATCCGAAGAGTCTCCGAGTAAACCGGAAGAGAAATAAGATATTCTCAGCATTTTTGATGAGAAACGCGCTTCCGTGGTTTAGCTGGACCTTTCAGTGACAGCCTGTATATATTTATATATTTATTCATCTATTTTTTTTATAAGTTAATTAATTTGTTATTGCCTAGATAAAGCATTCTGAAACTTAGACATTAAAAATGATAGATTATTTTGCTTGTGAGATTTGTTACATCTCTCGTAGAAACAGAGTCCCGAGTTCGTACGCTTTATAATCGCTTTACGCGTGTTTCAATGCATGCGCATAGATTATTTCGTAATCGTAGCACGTGATTTGCCCTAACGCGATATAGCCTAGCCATAGATAAAGTTGTGATAGCACTACCTTAGGCTAGGGTACACACACGCGTTCGTTTTCATTACTTATCTATATTACGAGGGTCGCACGCGCGCGGCCGACTCTTCACCTGATTTTAACTAGCGCGATAGCTGCAGATTTACTCCGCGCAATACACCGCTCTCCAAATAATGGGCGATTATCTACTATATTGGGAATAAAAATATGCTGATAAACAGCGTTGAATTTCGTGATGATCGAGTGATTATTGCGTGCCAATATTTTCTTCATTGCCTTTTATCGATTACTCTGACAGTAGTACATTTTGAATTTTTCGGCTTATTATTTTCTATTACTTCGCGATTAATACTGGGCCAGTTGAATTTTCATTCCCAACAGACATAGATGTACATCAAGGATTTAATTAAAATAATTGCTTGATTGTGCGCAACTAAAGAGAACACGCGAAACGTTGTCCGTAAAACTAAAATAAATTAAGTACAAATATTACATGAATACTACTGACGCTAGGACGGAAGCATTTGGATGATCAATGATGCTCAAGTCGATAAAAATCAAGCATACGAAGCGGAGAATTTACAACATGTAACATATATAGTGATAGATTTCAATAGCCGAAACAGTAAAAATAAGTGTCGGATCTATTCAATTAAAGATGGAAAAAGTCAACATTTTGAAACCAAAATTTCTGTCCATTTTAAATCTACCGATAAGATCTAAAAAAAACTTTCAATCTTCTCTTTATTGGTTTAACACTGCCTGAGCACTATTTGTAATTATTTTCAGAAACGGTAGCATGTTTATCGGAATCTATAGTATCGGGTTTTTAATCGCAAAATTCTTTTGGAAAATTAACAAGACCACGACGTAATCATCCTCGATCGTCCATTCGCTGCGTCAACGACCCTTTGTCGTGCAAAATCGATTAATAAATACTGACTTACGTCAAATTGCTCGTCTATCTAATACGCTACTTTTGGGAGACATTGCCGCGCTATGCGCTAATCTTACCGTGAATTATATTTCCCCGACGCTGAATGTGTCACAACGTCGTAACACAATGCAATCGGATGCCACGTTGAACATCGCTATCACTTCGGTTTTTCGAGATCGAAATATAATATGTCAATCGATTAATGTCAATGAAAATTATTAATGTGCATCTTAAAATAACTTCAACGATGCATTATTTAACAGCTTGGGCGAGTAAAGGGTTACGTAACATGGGAGTGTGTTGCAAGTATAATTGAAGATTAAAGTCGTTGTCCATTTTACAAATTATTTTAAAATTATACTAAATCATAGGATTCGAATTGTCAATGTCAGACATTAATTCATAATCGTGTGATATACAAGTAAAATGTTTAAAAGATGATATAAAAACACATTGCTGCATGATTAATACTCTTATAAATCGTTTTATATTTTCCATGTAGAAAGAAGTGACACGAGATCTTATATTA